ACCATGACCAAAGTACATAAATGATCATGATAATGTAATTTAGTCTGTTTAAAGAAAGGGAATATTTGGGAGTAATGTGAACTCTGCTGTTTGTCTAAAACTGATTTGGAAAGAAAATATGGTTAGGGGTTATCAGTATCATCATATCTATAGGGTGTCTGTCTATTATTGCAATAGTACTTTTAAACTGTAATTTATTTCTCATGTTTTAGGGTAAAAATGACCTAATGATTTTTTTAGGTGATATTTACAGCACATTTTGCCCTATACATATCACATTTTTTTCTAAATCACTTTGATGCAATATTCAAATTTCTGTTAATATTTAGTTAACAGTTAGTTCTTCGACAACATTAAGTCATTTTTGCACATCATCGTAACAGTTTCTCATTCATTTAAACAAATTGCATATGCATATGGACATGCAGAGGTTGTTTTTACATATCTTTCTCCTATTTCATAATATTAGCTTAAGTTATGTCCATCAAAATTAACTATATTAAAGAAGGCTGAATAGTCTCTCCTTTTAAATTGCATAGTCCTCATTTTATTGCTTGAGCCATTGCATACAAAAAATGGCTTCATGTCAGAATGAGTGGGGTTTAACCAAAAACAATCTAAACATTGTATTTGTTTGGGATAATGTGCGTTTTCACCTATCCGATGTAGAGACAGCGAGTCGGGAAATCTCTCCCTCCCTATTTACCATTCCAAACTCATAAAGGAGTTCTTATCTTCCTGGAAATAGATGGCATATGACCTGCATCCAAACACCCAAATGACCCTGCTAGAGACCATACAGGAAGCATGTGATGAGATCTCAGCAGAGTTTTGCAGACGGTGGATCCACTTCTGGAGGCGGTGCTTTCATTGCAAGAGTCGATATTCGCTGTAATATGTGTCCAGACAGCGAGGAACTGATGGATGTATACGAATGATTTACAGCAGCGTTTAAGGTGAATGTTCATTTCCAACATTTATTGCAATATTAACTTAATTGCAGTTTTCCAATGGCTGTGCATAACATAGAGTGCTCTTTTGAGCATTTTCAGTTAGTGTCACCAAGATTTGACTATTTTGCACCAGAAAAAAAAGCTATTGACTGTCTTGTTCCTAAACCATGGTATCAGCCTTTTTCACTGGATGATACTGACATATTCGCTGACACAAAAACTTGCCTCTGGGGAATGAGCTATCCTTTTACATGTTAAGAGCTAGGTTTTGCAAGTTGTACTTTTTTCTTGGACCAAAGTGACAGTGTCCTTCCTGGAGTATCACAGCTGTAAATTACCATGACTGTACCTGCATATGTTGTTTTGACAGATAAATTTGCCTAGAAGCAATTACTGTACACCAAGAGATGAACCAGACTCAAGAAGCACCAGATATCTTCCTGTTTTATGATGTCACATAAGAAAATGGGATTGAGGTGTGGCTAAATGGGGTTTGAATGCTCTGAAGAGGTGCTCAGGAAGTAACTGTCTTCTTACTTATAGCTGAAAGATGTCATAATTGGAAAAATAATTACACCCTATGAGTGGTGGAAAGCTAAAAGGCTAACCAGACATATTTTTTATCAACCAACTAATTGGCTATGCGGGTGATTGTGATAATAAACTGTAAGACTAAGAAAGTATGATGAAATATTTCAAAGCTTATCAAAGCTTTCATTGCAAAGCTAGAATGTGTCCAATACAAACTAATGTTAAGCAAACATTTGAAAAGGGACACAGATTACTTACGGAAAGTAGCACTAAATATTACGAATATATTCAGTGAAATACCTTGTGAGATTTTTCATAATTTGTTCAGATTTAAGCTCTGCATTATTAGGTTTAAAATATAATCCATCAGATAGTAGGAGGGACATTAGAAATATTTCATACATTATTCAGAATAAAAGACATGGGTTTGATAGTTGTATTTGTGTGGGTTCCAGCACATATTGGAGAAGAAGGAAATGAGAGGGCAGATAAAATGGCAAAGAGGGCAATTCAAAATCCTGTTAGTTTTACAGTTAAAACAAGTAAATCGGAGGGAAAGAGTATTAGTAAAGAAAAACTGATGGAAAAATGGCAAAAAAAAAAGGTGGGATGAAGAAAAAACAGGGTGGTTTTATAAAATTCAGAAGATAGTAGGAAAAAAGATTAAATGGAAGACAAAATAGAAAGGAGGGGAGAGTGATTACAAGGTTAAGATTTGGGAATACAGACTTAATTATACACTTTTCAAAATTAAAAAGCAAACTACTGGCAAATGTGATTACTGAGGAAAATATGAAACAATAGAACATGTTATACTGGAATGTCATAAATATGAATGCGAGAGAAGATATATGAGGAGAGAGTTTGAATCTATTAAGGAAAAGATTAATTTAGTAGATATTTTGAGGAAGAATTTGGGGAGTAAACATGTACAAATAATTATTCGATTTTTAAAGAAAACTAAATTATTTAATAGAAGTTGATAATAGAGAGGGTGAATGTGTATAGACCGATAGAATACAAAGTTAAGTATAAGTATGTAGTTTTTTTGTTTTGTTTGTCTGTTTTCTTTTTTTTCCTTAGAAATTATATATATGTTTACTAACTAGATAGTCCGTCACGAACCACACTCCATACCAGTAGGTGGCGATAATGCTACTAAATGTTTGTTGCCAACCGCCAGTAAATCCAAGAAGAAGAAGAAGATTTTTTTTTTTTTTTTTTTTTTTCAAAAATCCTTACATAGCATTCTGTACGAAATATGACGATTTTTACATTTATTTTCATTTTATTGAATTCAAAGTCAACAAAAACAGACAGTTTATATTTCAATTACCTTTGTCGAGAATAAAAAAGCCTTTGATTAGGTCTGGTTTGATTATCTTTTTGCAGTGCTGGTAGATTTGGTCTTTGAGCTAAGTGTATTGCCTGGGTTGAATTATTGTGCAACTGTGAAGCTTTTTTAACTTTCTCTCACTGTACCTATGGTGTTTTTTGGACAATCTTTAACCCCATATTCTGACTTACCCAAAAGAGTTGATCTTTATTTCTTTAATTGTCTGGAAAAAAGTAGGAGGTAGATTACTAGCTCAAGGTTCCTGAGACCTCACATCAACTTAAAACAAAATGTAAATGTGGGAAAAGCTTTATTAACAATGAAATAACTTTTTTAGGTGTATATAGATGTGAAACATCTCTTAATGTGGAATCAAACTGTGGCCTACTGCAATAAAAAAATGTAATTTCCTAAGACTACTCAGCAAACAAACAATTAAACCAAATGAGTGAACTACTGTATGTGATGTGAAACATAGAGGGGTTTCTTCTCTAAAACAATGTTCAGCAAAAGATTAGTTTTAAATCGGCAGTCTGGTCAACAGAAAAGGAGTGAAGCAGGAAAAAAGAATGAAAGGAATGAGAGGAAAGAGGCTGCTGAGATGTGCAAAGGAAGTGCTGCTCATTTCCTCAGACATAATAGCTATGATATCTCAATGGCTGAAGATTAAATAAAGACCTGGATGGGAACATGAGAAGACAAAACACCAGGATGATAAAAACATTCTCAAAGTCAGTGCAAGGAAACTCTAAAGGTATGAGGAAAACACTATTTAGAAATTAAATAGGAAGTTATTAATTTAGAACATGCTTAACTTTCAAATGAACAGTCACCGTTCTCTCATGGTACACAACTTCATAATAACACACACAGCCTTGCATATTTCCCACCTCAAGTCACACTGTGACAGTAATCCTGCTGTTATTTTGGGCTTCTCACATTCATGAGTTGAGGTATACATTCAAATAATGGAAGTCTATGGTGCCCGAGGCAGAAAGGTCCATAAAAGTCGACAAAAAACGTGTCAATATTCCTCCATACTGCTCGTCCAATGTATTCCAAGTGTCCTGAGTGGGTAGCGTCCATAATTTACTCGAAACGAAGTCATTTAGAATGTTTTTAGAGCATAAACAGTAGTGTATAGGATTTCCTAAAAGCGCGTTCACGAGTCTACGGAAACCGCGGCAGACCAAACCAGACGAAAGTGCACATTCAGCTCGGCAAAGAACTCATGCTCTTCCTCAACACTGAAGTCCTCAGACATTTTTCTTTCGTTGTTTCTTTCTTTGCACAGGTAAACAGCACATTTCTTCTTCTACGCTTGCATTATCGGCAGAGCAGACGCTGAATGCGCACTTTCGTCTGGTTTGGTCTGCCGCGGTTTCCGTAGACTCGTGAACGCGCTTTTAGGAAATCCTATACACTACTGTTTATGCTCTAAAAACATTCTAAATGACTTCGTTTCGAGTAAGTTATGGACGTTACCCACTCAGGACACTTGGAATACATTGGACGAGCAGTATGGAGGAATATTGACACGTTTTTTGTGGACTTTTATGGACCTTTCTGCCTCGGGCACCATAGACCTCCATTATTTGAATGTCAGCAGACAGCAAGAAGCCTCCCAGATCTCCAGATGCATTTGAGATATCAAAAAAGTACTCCAGAGTGTTGTTCAGCATGGGGGTGAGTAGTGTTGTGTTGTGTTTACTTTTGCCTAGATGATATGTAGCTGTGGTTGTCTTGTCTCCTGTGGTTTTATGTTAATGTAACTTTTTAAGCCGCCTTCTTGGCCAGGACTCCCTGGAAGAAGAGTTACTTTAACTCAATGGGACTTTCCTGGTTAAATAAAGGTTAAATAAAAAATAAAATAAAAATAAAAAATGAAGGCTAATCATGTTTTGGGTGTACTATTCCTTTAAGATTTCATGTTTGTTTGTCAAATAAATAATTTCATATTTGAAGCTAATAAAAAACTAAACTAATTTATGGCGGGATATAAATATAAATAACTGGTCAATTTTATTGCATTAAACCGTTCATCGCGCAAGACGATGAAGAAACTAGCGTTGTAAGAGAAGCCATAAAGATATCTATTTATATGGATGAAGCAGCCTGGGGGCGGAGCTTCCTCCAGCAAGCTGCGCGAGAAGAATAAAAAAGAAAAAAAGCCTGACGTCATACACGTCAGATTTCAGTTGTCCAAGATGGCGAAGGAGAGCGGGCCGAGGAATAGAAATCACTTCGGTTGCAACTCCAAAAGCCGACTCGAAGACGAAGGTAAGCTGTCTTTCAAATAGTTTACTGGATATGTAGAAAATAACCGGCTTTTAGTTTAAACGGGATGGTGAAAAGAATACGTTAAATTGAGGGGGTTCTTTGTTTCTGTCGCTTTCCGTTAGTCAGACGTTTCTGTTTTCAGCTGGAGACCCGCGGTGTTGTGCCAAATGTAGGCTCCCCGACCAGAATACGTTTTCTCTCCCACTTAAACGCCAAAGGAAGGCTTTATTCTAATTTAAAATAAACTCATGGTATCCATAGCTAGTCCGCTCGTGTTTTGGCATAACATGTGTTGTTTGAATCAAAAACTGACCCGGATGCGAAATTTACCCGCGACACCTGTCGACTCATTTATCCAGGCATTAATTTTCACCTGGCCGCTCCCTGATAACCGACAGTTCCCAGCTGATTCTCTCTATATATTAGCCTTTTGTCTCACAGATCGCTTAAAAATTGTTCCCCAAAAAATCAATCGCATTCCGTAGTGTGTTGGCTGCATATGCTAATCTTATCCCGCTAATTACTCTATTTTTAAATAGACTATAAGCGGCTGGTCAGTTTGCCAGTAAGTTTATCTTCTTAGCTTTGAAGGAGCCCAAATACTTGAGCAGCATATAAGCAGTGCTTCCTCTGTCATAATGAAAATGAAAATGTCATTTGGATAAATGGTTTGATATCTATCAATGTTTGTTTCATGCTCATCCGGCACAGTCATCACTACTGTTCAGATGATTGGTGTCTCTATGTTTTCTGCTTGAAAAGGTGGAGGAGTAGCCTCCTGCTGAGCCTCCGGTTCTACTCAACAGTCCAGTCAGTCGGGTTCATGTTCTTTTTTTTTTTCTTTTTTTTTCCCATTCCGTGTTTGTTATGCAATTTTTGGGTACGCTAGTTTGTTCTACGTTTTATTTTACAAGAACTAATGGGTGGAAAAAGTGCGAAAGAGGATTAGGACCACTAAAAAGATTTAAAAAGGTAACTGATTTTTTTTTTCTGACTTTAATCTCTGAATTCTGACTTTTTTCCCTTTGAATTCTGACTTTTTTCCCTTTGAATTCTGACTTTTTTCCCTTTGAATTCTGACTTTTTTCCCTTTGAATTCTGACCTTTTTCCCCTCTGAATTCTGACTTTTTTCCCCTCTGAATTCTGACTTTTTTCCCCTCTGAATTCTGACTTTTTTCCCCTCTGAATTCTGACTTTTTTCCCCTCTGAATTCTGACTTTTTTCCCCTCTGAATTCTGACTTTTTTCCCCTCTGAATTCTGACTTTTTTCCCCTCTGAATTCTGACTTTTTTCCCCTCTGAATTCTGACTTTTTCCCCCTCTGAATTCTGACTTTTTTCCCCTCTGAATTCTGACCCTTTTTCCCCCTCTGAATTCTGACCCTTTTTTCCCCCTCTGAATTCTGACCCTTTTTTTCCCTCTGAATTCTGACCCTTTTTTTCCCCCTCTGAATTCTGACCCTTTTTTCCCCCTCTGAATTCTGACCCCTTTTTTTCCCCCCTCTGAATTCTGACCCTTCTTTTTCCCCCCTCTGAATTCTGACCCTTCTTTTTCCCCCCTCTGAATTCTGACCCTTCTTTTTCCCCCCTCTGAATTCTGACCCTTCTTTTTCCCCCCTCTGAATTCTGACCCTTCTTTTTCCCCCCTCTGAATTCTGACCCTTCTTTTTCCCCCCTCTGAATTCTGACCCTTCTTTTCCCCCCCTGTGAATTCTGACCCTTTTTCCCCCCTGTGAATTCTGACCCTTTTTTCCCCCCTGTGAATTCTGACCCTTTTTTCCCCCCTGTGAATTCTGACCCTTTTTCCCCCCTGTGAATTCTGACCCTTTTTTCCCCCCTGTGAATTCTGACCCTTTTTTCCCCCCCTGTGAATTCTGACCCTTTTTTCCCCCCCTGTGAATTCTGACCCTTTTTTCCCCCCTGTGAATTCTGACCCTTTTTTTTTCCCTCTGTGAATTCTGACCCTTTTTTTTCCCTCTGTGAATTCTGACCCTTTTTTTTCCCTCTGTGAATTCTGACCCTTTTTTTCCCTCTGTGAATTCTGACCCTTTTTTTTTCCCTCTGTGAATTCTGACCTTTTTTTTTACCCCTCTGAATTCTGACCCTTTTTTTTCCCTCTGAATTCTGACCCTTTTTTTTCTCCTCTGAATTCTGACCCTTTTTTTTTCTCTAGTCTCTTGATTTAATCACCTTCTGCTCTTCCATTAATGAAATGGCATCACCGGGACCCCTCGGGCACGTAAAAAGTCACCCAATTGCTTAATTTTCCACCAATGGTCACTGGCCCTCTCAAACAACTCACATCTTTGTCATTGAAGCTGAGTGCTCCCACATCTCTTCCTTCATGGTACCCATCTACATTAAGATCCAAAATTCTGAGATTAAAGTCAGAATTCTGAAGAAAAAAGTCAGAACAATGATTATTGTTTTAATTGTGAATCTCATACACAGGCTCCAGGACACACACATGACATTTACAAAATGTTTATAATGCTACTACTTCATAATATGGGCCATTAAATGCAAACCCAACAAGATTTTTATTCACATCAAATCAGTTATTTTAAGTCGAGAACAGACAAATATTGTTAAAGCCTATATATCCTCTGACAGAGGAGGAATTATTATGGGAAAAACTAATCTTGATTGTGAGGGAGGTTTTGTCCAGCTTCGAGAGAAACTTCTTGTGGCTTCATGTACATTTTAACAGTGGTGTCAAAAGTACACACATTTGTTATGGTGTATAGATACTGCAGTTTAAAAACACTCTGGTAAAAGTTGAAGTATCAACTTGACCTCTTTACTCAAGTAAAAGTGAAAAAGTATGTACTCCAGAAACGTATAAAAGTATAGAGTAACCTTAAAAAAAAAAAAAAAACAGCCAGATGCCACTATTTGAATCGAAAGCTACATTTTTCGACTATTTAGAAAGCTTCTTTGAGATAGGGCCATTTTGACATCCTCTTCTGAATCCAACACTAGCTACGTTTACATGCGCAAAATTTCCCCGATTCGATCCAAACCTTGGTTGATCGGAAATTCAAAATCTCCGTTTACATGGACACTAAATGAAATGATCCGATCATGACGTGTGTATACATGTACCAAGCGTTGGATCAGATTAAATCTTTTAAGCATGCGCAGAACTTCCTGCCAAACTTGGCAGTTCTGTCTGCGTCTGGTTTTTGGGAGGCCTGACAAACGATGCACTCGGAGCGAGCGGAAAGAAAAACGGAGAGAGGAGGAAAAAAGCGCTTGGCAGCGAAATGTCCGAGAGAAAATGTAGAGAATGAGCGATTGAACCGGCGTGGGAGAGCGAGCGGGCTGTGGAGAGAGAAAAGAGGAAGAGGAGGATGATAAATTCCTGCTTCCTGCAGCTTTAAATGAACTTGAGTGTATAAGTCGGCGTTCCTAGACTCCTCCCGCCATGTTGTTCACAACAAGAGCGAGAGCGACCGGTGGTTTCCTGTTGTTGACAAGGCGGAAAAAACGTCACGCTGACGTCGCACACATGCGCAGTGAAGATTATTTTACTCTTAAGATCCGAATGGGTGTTTACATGGACGCCAATCGGAATGGCGATCGGCAAAAACCACCTCTCTCTTTCGGAATTAAATTTAGATCCGATCGGACCGAATCGGATTAGAATCTTCAGTCTGACATGTTTACATGAAACATTTTTGATCTGATCAGGCCTTCAATCCGATTAGTTGTGTCCATGTAAACGTAGCTATTGTAGCATGGCATAGACGATTCACGTTTGCAGTTTGAAGAACACCTGCTTGCTTCTGATGATTTCCGAGTGTTTGCCTTATATGACTCATCCAATTATTCTAGTTTCCTCTAGATGTGGATGGTGCCAATGATCTGCATTGGATGGCGCACATAATGTGAAATAAATATTTATAAACATTAAACCAAAGCCAAGAGTAACGAGTAACGTTTGTTTTAAAAACGTAAGGAATAGAAAGTACAGATACTTGTATGAAAATGTAATGAGTAGAAGTCAGAGGTAGGAAGAAAAATAAGTAATGGAGTAAAGTATAAATGCCTAAAAAGTGAACTTAAGTACAGTAACAAAGTATTTGTACTTTGTTGCTTGACACCTCTGCATTTTAATGAATACATTTATCAAGATGGGTTCAGTTCATTTCCTTAGATTTCCACACCTGATGGTCTTTTTGATCAAGATTTTTAAGGTTTTAAACACATTTAGCTCCTCATTTACACACCAACATAAACACGAGAAACCAGTCTAGAATCAATGCTATGCAAACCTAATATTTTTATAGCTACTGTTATTCCTCTTTAGCTGTGTATATCTGGCTTCAGGCTTTTCTCAGGGCTGTCGTTAAAATCCATCAATCAACATAAGTTCATGACTTGTTGTACCTGATGAATGTCTTACAAAACGCAGAATATAACAGCATTCACCCTTCTGAGCAAGATGTAGTAGACTGAGGTATTTTGTCCATATGTCCTGGTTACATACGACAGGCTTAGCGAGGAGGCAAGTTCAAGCTCTGATGTCCTCTAAAAAACAGTGCAAAAGTTTGGGCAGAACATGGAGAGTAACTCTTCAGTCATCTGGACACCTTAGAATACATTTGATAACCACTTATAGTCAGTCACACCAGAAATGGGGAGAAGAAGCTAGCTAGCATGAGCCAGACACCTGAAAATTATTCAACGTTCGGCTACATCAACAGGATATCATTTAGCACATTAAGTGTTTAGTCCTTTTTAAAAAGAAAAGCAATTGCTTTTAATACCTCTGACAGTTGTAAGAAGTAAAAATTAGCTTGGATCCTATTTAATAGGCAAGTGTGGAAATATTATTGGTTTGTACGTTTTGTTTCTTTATTTTATATTTGACTCTAAAGCACTTTTACAAAAGGATGCCTTTTTAAAGTAAGATTAAATACAAATGGGAAAATAAAACAGAATGTGGGGAAAAACTAAAATGGGACAAACATTGAATGGTCCCTAAATGGCGTACCTTTATCCCACCACTGTTATGTTGAGAAAAAGTCCTGCTGAGAACCATTTACCATTGGTAGTTTAATTATAATCACAATAATAACAGGTATAGTTTAATTGCATTGTGTAATAGCAATCCTCCGTCGGATTTTTGGGCTTTACGTGATACCTTTTAATCGTTTCATAAGATATGTTCTTGCTACGATTATGCATCAGGAACCAGTTAGGACTGGCTATAATGTTTCAATTCTTCCTCTTTTCAAATGCTTTATCATTATTTTTCTTATCACTTGCTGTTTTGAGTATGTTACCAATGAGGGTATATTAAAAGTAAAGAGTTGCCCAAGCACTGAACCATATGGTATGCCACAAGTAAAGTGTAGAGACTTATTGTTAGCATGAATAAAATTAAATTTCTTTGACAAAAAAGTAAACCAGTTTAGTGTTGTTCCCTGGATCCCTACAGCTCCTATAGAATATTGTAATGAACTGTATAAAATGCAGCACTTGGATCTAACAGAACAAGTACAGACATAAGTCCATTGTCTGAGGACAGGATAACACTTAAATTGCATTACTCTGTGAAATGGTTCTGTATAATTAATTAAACATTCATTACTGGAAGAAATTTTCAATGTTGTTATAATTGATCAATTGGAACTTGTTATCAATATAACCTGATGCTACAGGAACCCCAATTGGTATAATTATACAAATTTGGGATACATGGATTAGGTCCTGTTAGAATCTTATTAGAATTTTAAACACTGTTTTAATTGAATAAATGTTAAGCCCAGACTTACACTCATGGATAAAAGTCACTTTTTTTGTGTGATTTCAATGGCTCATCTCTGACATACAGTTTGATTAGGGATCTGTTATCTGATTGACCTTTATGTCTGCTTTCATACAGACTGACTCCCTCGTAATCTGCACTTTGTCCTCGTTGGTTTGCCTACAATAACTGAGCATTTGTCCCCCATCTAGTGAGGATAGAACATGTCGTATGTTGGCACTGGAATTTAGAAATCTCAGTTCCTGCGTTTGAATCCAGATTGGATAATAATACTTTTTCCTTTAGATAATTAGAGCATGTTGCAGTTAAGTTGAGGCTGTTTTAGATTTATAATTGGAGTCAAGGTAGATGAATGCAGCTTCATTTGGATTCAGTGCAGAAATGTATGTTAGAATTAGCTGTGTTTCTATTACCAATGTGTTCAAAACTATATCAATATTCTCCTTATTTCATACAATTCAATACAAATGATCATAACTGCAGTTTTTTTTTTTTTGATTAAATAACAAATACAATTAAAATTGTAGTGAATAACTTTGTTCAGGTGATAACTTTGAATCATCTGTGCAACTGGGGATGTAACTACATGAGATGTATCCATATTTCAGCTACGGCTGTTGTGATCCTCCAACTACTTCAATTTTTCTTCGTCTTTTTACAAGGTAGTAAGGTCCGATTGTGGATCGCATGACTCGTGGGATGTGAAAACGTGTTCCATTGCAGTTTTGAGAAATATAAGAACCAAAACAACCACCTTATCGAAATGTAAAACTTATTTTAAAAAAATGTAGTTTTTTTTTATTTTTTTTTATTGCAGTGTTTCCATTTGGCAATTTTCTTTTTTCGTAATTACAATTTGATGGTTAATGTAAACATGGCTAGAGTTTTTCAACCTTCTCCTTGAGGCACATTGCCTTGCATGTTTTCAACGTGTTTTCTGCTTTATCACACCTGAATGTAACGATTGTGGTTTAGCAAAGCTTGTTAATCTGTCATCAACTAAACTCGGGTGTACTGAAGCAGGGAAATCTCTAAAACATAGAGAACAGTGGCCCGAAGAGCATTGAAAGAGATTGAAAAATTCGGAGTTAGACGGCATGGATGAAAGCTAAAGGCAACATGTACTAATATTATGGCTAATGTATGTTTTTTTTCTTTTTGATAACATGCAGCCCTGTTTTGTGACATAAGGCCCACATATTTCCATTTTAAACTATGCAAAATATATACACTCTGGTCACATTACATTAGCCACCTAATTGTTAGGCTATATACCAGATATTTAAACATGATTTGTTTCATTGTTTTTTGTTTTTTTATCATAAACTCCTTTCCTGTGCGACTGGGTCGCCTTGTAGTCCAAACTGAATACCATCTTTGTGTCGGCTCCCTTTGCTCTGTGGCTCAGTTTGCTCCACTTTATTTTGCTAAGTGCTGCTCCAGCCTGGATAAGAACCTGCAGTGCCACAAACTGCGGAAGTGCTCAGGGCTAATTTGTGTATGGAGCTGATTACAGTAACTGACTTGTGCTTTAACATTGCAGCATGTCCATGTCGATCATTGGATGTGCTTCTGTATTTTCATTTCTTCTCCTTAATGGGAATATTTCTTAAAACATTGAAAGAAGTTGATCATCTTTCTATCTTTCAGATTAAATCCTTAGGTACTTCTTCAATCTCAGAAGATGATGTAAAAGCAATTGAAGCTTTTATAAGCAAACTGAAAGTGATGGGTCCTAATAGGAATGGTTTAAAAAAGGCTTGGTGGCAAGGGACAGCTGAATGCTTTATCACTGAAATATCTGAAGAAGTAATGCTTATAATTTGTGGTTCAGCCTGTCTGTCCAGGAAGTGTAACTCGATTTTTAACCTGGAAAAGAGGTTGCTGATTGAAAGGAGGAAGGTTTTCTTATGTTTATTTTCTCAGGAGGCCTGACATGGGGATTTACAAAAAGAATTGGGTCTAACTTTTTGACTACATTTTGTCTTTATTATAAAGAAGATTTGTTAAATTTCTTGAATAACTGCTGCCAGGATAACTAAGCAACGGCATGGATCACTATTAAATGTTTGACGTTTTCACTCCACAGTTTTTATATTGTGGGACACAGGAGGAAATCAGAAAGTGTTTTAACAGAAACCTGATTATTACCTAAGGGGAAGATTATCCTTTAAAGATCAATTTGACAGACACAGAATGTAAAAATATTGTCCTGGTGGCACACTTAACTCGTGTCCCTTTTTCCAGCCCTTTGTGTATTTCATCACAAGGCTATTTTCAGTTTGACCTAGTTGGGAAGTCCGGAGTAAAAAGCAAATTCAGTCTAGCTGAGAAGCAAGATTCCCATCTACATTTGATATAGGACAATCACTTCCCTTCACCACCAAATCAAATGATATCCTCTGTGTTAAAAAAAAAAAAATCAGTTCTGTTTCTTTCCCCTTTGATTAAAATTCTGACCTGTTTATGTCTATGTGTGTAACCTGTGTTTTCTGTGTTCTTTCTTTTGTCTTTCTAAAGGTTTCAAAGACATGGAAGATGGGCCCACTTTTCACAATAACCAGAAGCCGCCTTCACTCCGGCCCGGAGACCTGAATGATGGGCTAAAAATCAGGACAATTTCTGCAGAGTGCTGTCAAAATGAAAGCGTCAGTCCTTCACCAGATGAAGGAATTGAGGAGGAAAAGGTACATATTCCTCATATTTTCCCTTTTAATAGCACAGGCACTTCAATGTAAATTTAATTCATTTGCTTTATAAAGCTGCAAAAAAAAAAGCAGTCTGTCTATCATAACAACTAAGAAATCATAGCAGTAGTAACCCTGCAGAACCTTCAGCTTTCTCTGTAAACTAACATCCCAATGTGGGTTTTCTCTACAGCCATGATTACGTCAAATCTTTTTTTTTTTTTAAGATATGTTATATATATTTAAACCACATATGTCTCGTGCCACAGATTAAGTTACTTTATTAGTGTACACCAGATCAGTGTAAGTCGTCAATGTCATACTTTTTAAGGAATTTAGTGGTAAACGGTAATTGTTGCAAATCGAACTTAACGTCCTAACAAAGATTTTTAATTCCATGTCATATCATGTGTTATGGAATAGGCTTAAGATTGCTTAAGTGAAAGTGCATTGTACATTTTTGAAGATAAAATGACATTTTAAAGAGAAATGATTATTATCAAAGGAAGTTTAGAATTATTAATGTATTCAGGTGATTCTTTGTTGGGGGGAGCAGTTTTGCCTTTACCTCAGTAAGGAGATAATGGGTTCCATCAGGAGTGTGAATGTATGCACTTTGGGTGTCATTGAAAACCTGTTGGAACGTGTTTCCTTTAGGCTGTGATTGAGGAGGAAAAGCCAGGACCCATCCAGATCGTCCGAGCCAGCGAGAGCGACTACATCTTTGAGCTTGATAATGCTGCACTGGAGAAGATCCTGCTGCAAGATCATGTGAAGGACCTGAATGTGGTGGTAGTTTCTGTGGCCGGAGCTTTTCGGAAGGGCAAGTCTTTCCTGCTGGACTTTATGCTGCGCTACATGTACAATCAGGTACATTTCTTAAGGATTTTTGTGAATGCTATGGATACCAGCTTGTGAGAAGATACTGACCAACAAAAGTTTTTGTTTTTGTCACAATCAATGCCTTCTAAGCATGACTAAAATTTGTAGTGGACTTTAGAAAAAACAAGTGCCTTCAGTGGAAAATCCTGGCCAGTACCTGTACAGTTTTAGTGGGAAAGGGCTTTCAAATATGGTGGCACATGAAAGCATGTTCTTTCTCTGCAGCTTGCCAGGGGACATTTCACCAAATACCTTAAGTACCGTGCTGCATCAGTAGAGTGTTGCCAATTTTACAATCGATGCAGATAGTAAACACCAGAGGTTGGTCACAATGAGAATTTAATGAAGTTGTACTAAATCCATTGACTTTAGGGTTCTTTATCAACCAATGTTTAATCTCTACAAACAGCAGACAGTGCTCAATAATATATAATTGTGTTTAAATTAGATTATATATTAAAACTTTGAATGACCTTCAGTTTTGAAATAAAACAAAGAGTTTAAAAAGTGTCTGAAGTAACCAACTTCAAAAATGGCGAAGCCCCTACAGCAGGGGGACTTTGTATAATTTTAGGGGGTCTAAGCATAAATTAATATCTTTAATTCATGTGTTATTGTTTTCCTATATAGTTCTTAGTGGATTAAAGTGTTAAACACTCTAATCAAACCTTTATTTTATAAATCATGAGCGTATTTTGTTTTTAATCAGAAATAGATGCGTTTCAGGAGCGTGACATACTGAAGTATTCTACCTTGCCACCGCTATACTGAGTAGCGAACTCTTAGCTGAGCTCTTGGCACTTTCCATCTGAACAGAATCATTCTTTAAATGATACACAGAGGAAATCTGTGTTTTTGGATGTGATCCATATGAAGTCCCTGCAGACTTTTTAAAACACCTCACTATAAGTCACAGCCACTAATTTTTTAAACTGGAAATGTATGTGTATTTGCTGCTGATATCTACTGAACTGTCCCAACCCAAACCTGTAGGAGGAGCTCTACATATCTCCCCTAGAGTAGGATTAAAGAAGAATGCTAGTTCCCGTTAGCTTGCAGCAGTAAGAGCTTTTAATCAAAGGTGGGACTTAGTCAGCTCTTTATTTTGGATCTGCAAGAGTTGCAAATGGCTTATAGTCTGGATAGTATGGCATACCAACATTGTGGAAAAATATATAAATGTTTTACATTTAAGATGCAAAAACTTTTCCATCAGTCAATATGCTTTATTCACAACTTCTCAAGTGGAAAGTTTTAGTTTCACCTGGTTTAATTCTGTAATAAAATCTTCAAAGAACCTTTTGCTATCCTATTGTTCATCAATTAGTCTAAAAAATAATTCACTGATTATTCGATTAGCAAAATAATAATTTGTTGCTGCTTAAATAGTCTTTTCTTAAAATATTTTGCTACACATCTGTTGTGCTTATGCATGCTTGTTACATGAAGCCCCAGTGTTGCAACAGCTGCATGTATGGAGTGGGAGATGATATCCAACAGTGATGGTATTTTTGTGTCTTCTGTCTCCCACCACCTGCAGCGGGTCAATGAAGGGGCATTATAACACAGCCGGCTTTCCAGAGTTTTTAAGCTGTGCCAAGTTCTGCTTGGCTCTTCATTTAATCATTTCCATTTTTGTCCCTGATTTTCCACCCTGTGCTCTACAGGATAGTGTCTCCTGGATTGGAGGCAACAATGAGCCCCTGACAGGGTTCAAATGGAGAGGAGGCTGTGAGAGGGAGACCACAGGAATTCAGGTGTGGAGCGATGTGTTTGTGGTTGATAAGCCGGATGGCAGTAAGGTAGGTTTTTTTTTTTTTCCCCCACATGTGCTTACTTGGAAAGTCTTTCTTCCTTATTTAGAAGACTTTTAAACGCAGTGACTGCTGATTCGTAGGTTGCTGTACTCCTTGTTGACACTCAGGGAGCATTTGACAGCCAGTCCACCATCAAAGACTCTGCTACCGTGTTCGCTCTCAGCACCATGACCAGCTCTGTCCAGGTAACTGGAATATTTTCTTTTTTGCTTGTTTTTGCCAAAGCATCAATGTAAACATTGGTATATTTGCCTTTTTTCAGGTGTACAACCTTTCCAATAACATCCAAGAAGATGATCTGCAGCATCTGCAGGTTTGTGATACTACTTCACTTCAACACCAAATGAATGCATTTTTTAGAAAGTATTTTTATTATTATACTCTTGTTCTTCTTTCTTTTTATTTTCTAAAGCTCTTCACGGAATATGGACGGCTGGCAATGGAAGAAACTAAAACGAAACCTTTCCAGGTGCCCAGTTTGTCTGAATGCATAACATGGTCATTTGAAAACAATCTTAATTTCATGCCACACATGATTACAAACTATTGAATACAGGCAATATTGTAGCCTGTGCAATCATGGGTTAGACTACTGTTCAGCATGTAGATACTAAAGCTCTTCACAAGCAGCCTCAAATGGTCAGCTTTAAAGAAGATGGTTGTTCAGACTGTTGTTTCTATTCAAATCAGAATAGGCTGTGCATATTACTGAGTTGTAGGCTGTAGCCTGATGCTGTGATTTAGAAGGGAAAAAAAACAAAACCACCTGAAACTGACCCCTGGCTGAAGGATCCATACACTGTGCATGACTTTAAGGGTCCTGCAATCACAAATATTTGACTAGAAAACAAACAAAACAATAGACTAAAGCATAAACAATGCTACCAAAGAAAAAAGTTGCATTTGCAAAATAAATGGACAGCAGCAGTGGGGAAACTACAGCAAACACAAACCCCACTGCAGATACCTTCTAAAGCACTTGCAAAGGAAAAATGCTGCAAGTTAAGAAAAGCTGCAAGTTATCTGAGCAAAGCTCATCATATGGGATCAGAACATAAACATTACCCTTAGTAAAATCCTAAACCGGATGCTGTTCAAAGGACATGTGGAGGGAAGTAAGACCCTTTTTTTAATGTTTAATTTCCGGTAGCTTCCTGTTTATGCCTTTAATACCACCCTGCTCCCAAATAAGACGATGATCATCACCCCCAGTGGTTTGGAGCACTTCAGTTTTGCTGTGCTACTTGCTTTTTTTTATTTTTTATTTTTTTTACTTGCAATTGTTTTTGCTATTTTTTGTGTTCGTCTAGATTTTTAGTATGCAAATCTCATTTTGACCTTTTAAATTTGCTGTGAAATGTGTTTGGACAGTGCCATATCCCTCAACCTGTTCTAAAAGCATCTTTTGAAACAAGACATCAGAAGGTTGTTAGTTTTGTTTTTTTTGTGATTTTTTTGTTGTTGTTGTTTTGTTTTTTACCTGAAGTTGTAAAAAAGAGGACTGGAGTATTGCCTGTGCTCTGAAGTCCTGTTACTACAAAGTAAACTGTGTTTCCTTTGAAAAATCAAAGATATGGAGCAGTGCAGGATCCAAGCTACTTGAGCCTCAATGTAAAATATAAGGAGCCTTGTTATATGCTGGTGCCACTATGTTTTATTAAGTCCAAAGTCAGCATATATATCAGGAAATATCTGAGCACTATGTGTCCCTCTGCTTACAAGGTTTATTGAGATGTTGATTTCATTTACCACATGGACTTAGCACTTCCCCAAACTCCTGAAAGTACCAGTACCTGCCTTAATGATGTCATTGAGATTCAGTGGCCTGCCAACTGGCCTGACTAAACCCCACAGAGGACCTAGGTGTTCCCAGAAACAACAATGCAGATGAGCCGAAGCCCACCAATAAAGCAACCTGGGCTTTTACATTAACACTTGAATGTTATCAAGATGCATCTTTTTAGAAATTAAAGTTCACTGTTTGAACTCAATAATTGAAATAACATTGTAATCTAACTGATTGGAAGGCAGCTGATGTTATTTATAGCATTTAGAGCTTGACCTATTCAACTATTCCTTACTCCTCACTGAAGCTCTGCACTATAACTGGAGAAACGTCAGCCCCTTCTCAACCTTTTTAACCAATTGTTCTGTTATAATTAGGAACCAACCTATACTCTGTTCAGTTTTACTACAAAAACGGGACATTAGTTCAAATATGGAATAAGTTGTAACTATGTACTCCAAAGTTGTTGTTTTTTCTTTTTCATAAGATCTTTCATTTTGCTTGTGCATTTTAGTCCTTAATGTTCCTGATTCGAGACTGGAGTTTTCCTTACGAACACGAATATGGACTAAACGGAGGATGCAAGTTTCTTCGTAAAAGACTGGAGGTGAGAATGCTTTCAAAATGGATTGAAATTGTCCACAGACCATTTACTACAGGATGCATTGACCACCTCCATTTTTTGCAAACTATTTTTTTCTCTTACAAACATGTATAGTTTTGTGGAGCATTACACATTGTGTTATTGATTTCATTGCTCTTTATTGATCACTGGGCCAATTCTCATTTAAACTCTAAAGTGAGGGTCTGTCTGTTGAGCTGGTAAACATATGCTACTAAAATGCCTCAGCTGTAATCCCACTTAATTATCCCACTTAGAGCTAAGGTTGTGGAAGCTTAGTGTCACTGAGGAGGACTCGCCTTGATCTGCTGAGCCATTTAGACCAATGTTTACTCATTCAGTGATTACCATGGTTGGATTTCTCACAATTAGTGGTAGAATACTTTTTTTTTATTTTATTTTTTTTGGTTAGGCTGAGTTTGGGTTTAAGTAAACTTCAGGAAAGCTCTCAAGTTTAATCTGACGTGAACATAAACAAAGATAAAAAGCCACCAAGGGATTAAGATTCCTATAGACCTTACTGGTCTTTTTTTTTTTTTCATAGATCATGCTCACTGTAGCATTTTTACTGTACTCTATAGTAGTTCAAGAGCTAAGCTTTTGGAGTCTTACTTCAGAAATGTGAGGGCTACAAAGCAAGGTAAACATTTCCATAACCGCTTTTCATCAGAGCTACTGTGTCTTAATCACTGCACTTTTCCTGACGTTTCCCTTCCTCCATAATTCATCAGTTTTTTTTTTTTGTTTAGTTTAGTTTTATAGGAACAAAAATCAAACATGACAGAATAAGCCTCAATACTTCGTAGCCATTAGAGTCAAGCATGGCTTTTTCTACATTTCTCATGACAAATGTCTTTGTTTCCCACACTGCCATGGCATTGTTGGATGAGTTTGCCCTCTAGATGTACAAAATAGAAAATTTGTCACAAATGTGGATTGTAAAATGGATACTATAGGAATCCTGCATACAGTAGTTATCTAGTGCATCACACTTTCGTCATTCCTCTGAGGCACTACAGAAGGAGTTCAGATAGGAGTAAACTTTGATCTGATACCCATTTTGTTTTACAATCATAGGTTAAAGCATGCCAACATGAAGAATTGCAGAATGTAAGGAGGCACATCGACTCCTGCTTCAAAAATATCGCCTGTTTCCTGCTGCCACATCCAGGCCTCAAGGTGTCAACCAACCCACACTTTGATGGAAGGCTAATAGGTGGGGACAGGAACAATGATGACTTGTATTTGGAATTCAGAGTATTCATCAGAACAATAATCAGTGTTTTTTTTTTTGTTTGTGTGAATTTCAGACATTGAAGATGATTTTAAGACACAGCTAGCTGAGCTGGTGCCTCTGCTCCTGGCCCCCGATCAGTTGGTGGAAAAGGAGATCAGTGGAAGCAGAATCACATGCAAAGATCTGGTGGAGTATTTTAAGGTGAGGCGATAATCTGTCAGCCTGTTTTGGTTATTTTTGCAAACCAAACTCTAATGATTCCAATGTTGCATGTGCTCAGATCTAAGAACAAGTTCTGTCTCCACTGAGGGTTTTTCACGTGGTTATGGATCGAAAAACTCCTGCTCAGCTTGTCTGAGAAAATCTTAAGATCCTGTCTGCCAACAGTCATTATTTTAAAGGAGGACATTCATCTTTTGACTGGACTTTTAATATTCAATTGAAAAAACGGGCTTTTTTTTTTTCTTTTCATTTTTACAGGCCTACATCAAGATTTACCAAGGTGATGAGCTTCCTCACCCAAAGTCCATGCTACAGGTCAGTTCCTACAAACCCCTGCATGTCTTTTCAAGCATATTTCCTAAGCTTTCCATTTCTATTCATGTTTGTTTTTAGGCTACAGCAGAGGCCAATAATCTGACGGCTGTGGCTGGAGCCAAAGAGTTGTACAGCAGGAACATGGAGCAGGTAGCTACTTTTCATTTATTACTGTCAACATGATTTAAAGTAGATCCTCATAGCCACAATAAAAGTCCAATAGCAAAATAATAAGGAATGGGCCATTTAACTATTTTAATTTTATTGTTCATGAAGCACCAAAGTTGATGCTCTGTTTCCGTTGTGGACACACGCTGCATTCTCACTTTTTAGTTTTTGAGATAAGAGAATATTTGCTTATGAAAGGGACCAAAATAGGTCTCTAACTATTAAGGAAATCATTTAGTAAGCGTAGTTAAATCACATAAATCTTTAAGACAAGATGTTTGATGCTGTTCTACCAGTGACTGCTGCTTAGCAAGGGACATGGAAGTTGCCGCAGCTTTCTTTGGTAGCTGGCAGATATTTTGAAAATCTTGCAAAAATCTGTGAATAACACTAAATGATTTTAAATTCCCCTTAATCTAAAAACTATTGCAGCCTTGGGATGGAAGTAATCGTATCAGTCAGTTTGAAGCAGTCTTTTTTGCACCAGATTGTAGAACAACCTGTGGCTGCAACATGCAAATACACACAGGCTACCTGGTATCTGCTGCAAAAAGACTACATTCTTAACTATATTAAGCTACAAAGTGTTTGAACAGATTTGGGTATATCATCTTTTAACAAAACGCCCTGCTCAATATCTGTGTTACAACCCACTGAATCAGAAGCAGATTAAACATTTGCCAGAACAATTTAATAGTTGGAACCACAGTGTTTCATCAACTGAGATTAGAGAGCCTGCTTCCTCGGTTCATGTAAACAATCTAATGCAGATTGTTTATATAATCTACTGCATGTCTCCTGGGTTTGAGGAAAGAGGATTCTTTTTTATCTGATCCCGCATTTTATAACCTAAACTAAGACAAAGGGAGTTTTCACAGTTGCAGTGTTTCACTGATTTTCATTGTCGTCATCAAGTGTTCTATTCTAAATTGGAGGTAGAAGGAAGATAAAATCAAACTACCAAAACATTTAAGACTGCACTTATTAGCTACATCACCCTAGTACTTTGAATCACCTTCTTCTGCCTCCAGATTTGCTGTAAATGTTTTAAGGTCAAGGTATTTTAAACCTTCCCTTGAGTTTTAGGTTCATATTGACGTGTTTGCTGCATTGAGTTATTGTTTGTACATCCCATGATCCGATTCTTTCATTCCACAACATCCCAATATGCATGCGTCAGATAATGAACTCAAGCCTACATTACTGTGTTAACATGCTTTTCAATCCTTCCTGCACTTTCTTTTCAAACTAAACTTTGCTTTAAACTGTTGTGTGCTTGGAAAAATATAAATTGTAATGTTAAAAATCTAAAAAAAACAGGTTAAAAACTTGAGATAAATCACAAGACTGAAGTCAATGTCACAAATGAATAACTTTTATTTTAGAGTCACAGTATGTTCATACATGTTCCCTGCTCATTATTGCTCTGAGCCATCCATGACGGAGAGGAAGGTCTGGTTAGTGGCTTATTTGATCTGTGGAGCTCTGATAGTTTGATTGTTCTATTGCTATAACTCATATTTAAACTCTCAGGACTATTTAGTCCTTTGGGTGAGAGTTTATACCAATGTTTGGTTAAAATACTTTTACACATTTATAATCTTAGAACCTTTCAACTTCTAAGCTGTAGGATGAATAAGTGAGGGGGAATGTGGTAGTTTGGTTAATGCAGTTGAAAGCTCAGTTGGATGTACATCCTTGTTTATTTGTCCTCTTTTTATTATCCTGACAGGTTTGTGGAGGAGACCAGCCCTACATGGCACCCGCTGATCTGGAGAGCTACCATGCGGCTTTCGCTGAAGACTCTGTGAAATATTTCCGCTCCATAAAGAAAATGGGTGGTGAGGAGTTCTGTCAGCGCTACCAGACCCAGCTGGAGTCAGAGATGGAGGAGGCGTTCGCCAACTTCTCCAAACACAACGAGGGCAAAAACATCTTCTATGCGGCTCGCACACCGGCAACACTATTTGTGGTTATGTTCTTCACCTACGTGCTGTCCGGAGTGACGGGCTTCATTGGCCTGAGCCTTTTTGCCAAACTGGCCAACCTGGTCTTGGGCGTGGCTCTGCTGCTCCTCTGCATCTGGGCGTATGTGAAATATTCAGGAGAGTTTCGGGAGGCAGGAATGTTGATAGACCAGTTGGCTGAAGCACTCTGGGAACAGGTGAGTTATCAGGGTGGAAGCTGGGAGGAGGGTTTGTTTGTTTGGATTTCACTGCAGAACAATTTCAGAATTTGAAGTGCAAATAACTGGATTATTTGGGGAGTATTTAAGTACAACTTTATGAAAAATGAATGCATCTATGTATGTTAGTAGATGAGAGATCTTTACCAATGCATTAAGAGCTCTGGAAATATAATATCTGCCTCAAAAATGAAGCAAATTTACTGTGAATCCACTTCTGGCTCTTAGTTACCAGGTAACTTCCTGCAGGACAAAGATCAGTTTTCAAAATGTTACAACTTTCCAACTGTTTCTCTTATGAAATCTTAAACTGTACTTTTTTTGATGATTGGATGAGGACTACTTTAACCTCTATTCTGGGATGGATCAATTCACTTCAGATGGCAAAGGTGTTAACACAATCACAAGGTTTCCCTCAGAAACACGTTTTTCTGAAGTATTGGAAGAGGTGGATGGAAAAAGTAAAATTTGAATCGCCTTACTAGATTCTTGCAAAAAGAGTTTTTATGGTCGCTTTTTGACATTTTTACAAAAGGTAAAATATTTCTGACAGTAAATATTAATCTTGCCTGACTGATCAGCTGTTTCTACTGCTGGTGTTCTTAAAGTCATAGGGAAGTCCTATTTAAATGTCAAATTATTCTGGCTTTAACATGTATATAAATGCACTCTTTATCAGACCATTTTGTCCCAAAAGTTAGAAAATTTCAATTTAAAAAAAAAAAACCTGTATGAAAATTTGTGGGGGGTTTTTTTGTTATCTTATGAAGGCCAGTTATTTATATGTGAGCTTGTAAATCTAAATTCGGCCAATCATATAGCAACGGTCATCTGTCCAATTTTTTGGTCATAGCATCTCGATTCATATGTCACAGCTAATTTACACAACGGTTGAAATAAGAAATCAGGATCATTTACTTTCCCATTGAGTTCCGTCCCAGTGTTCACGGGGATGGACGTCTGTGTCTTCAGCAGGCGTAGAGCTAACAGAACTGGCAGCGTTGCGAGGCAAGGGTTCAAACATGTACGGCTGTAAGCCTTCTACACCAAACCAAGCTTCTGTCGTCCTGACGTCCTCTTCCACAACATCTTTGTCCCCGCTTTCCTCCTCTAAATAAAAAATGTATGACGGAGGAGACTCATCCTCGACCTCCGACACAAAACTCTCCTCCTCTTGCACGTTTCTGTCCATAGCTCTCCTTGACAGTGTCGTTGCTAAGTGCTACTTGGTCCCAATATAATTTCCCGTTGGGAACCTACTAGCACTAAGTTGCTAACTGGTTTGCAAGATGCTTCCGAGGCACCGGCCACAACCAAAAACCTTGCGAGTCTTCCGCCACAACAACCCCGCCCTCTTGATAAACAACCAATCACATTCACTTTATTCACTTGTGTAAAGTTGGGCACCACTCGGGAGAATTCGGAAATGGAACCGCTTGAACAGCTGCTTCACTACGACTTTAATGCTAGCATTAAAATCAAACTTTCTTCTTAATGTCTCTTAATGGTACGTTCCATTGCTAATACTAGACTTGATAGAGTAAAATTGGCCCCATTGAAACAGAGACATTATGACATTATTGGTCTGGTCTGCTCTAGTTTTCTACCTCTACTTCCTGTTGATTATAGACAAGCATAACCTAATGTATGATATTACACTAGCTGGTTTATTAGCTCCAATGAATGAATTCAGGGCTATAGAGACTCTCTGAAAGTTTAAATCAGACTTTGAACTGGTAAAAAGCAGCACAGTCCAAATTGGACATCTGTCAGCTTAATATGAAACAGTCAAACAGCTATTGTTAAATCCTTTTATTGAAAGAGGCATGACATAGTTTTCTAACGACACTGCATTTGGTGGCTAAAACACAGAACAGCAGAACTCTTCTGCTTGTTCTTGTAGCTTGCGCTCATACTTGGCAAGGTCTTTTACTTTTTTCACCTTGCATGGAGTTGCCGTTAGTGTTGGAGTTGAGCTGGATGCCAGTCGCTTCTGTGTATCCATCCACAAAATCCACCTTCAATATAACGCTTAGATTGTTTGCTAGGTTTGACCCATTGAACATGAACATTCGCAAAACATCATGCTAACTCCGGACCAGAACTACATTCAGATAATTGGGCTACAGGCTTATAGATTCATCAGGGCTGAGCTACTGCAGTGTCAGTCTGCTCATTAAATGATGTTAAATGGATTTTATTTACCCTTAATGAATAAATTAAGGGTGAATAAAAATTTTTTTTTACAGATATTTTTCAGTAAAAACTTGCATAATGTCTCTTTAATAACTTAATAGAGCAAAGGGGTTTTATTTCCTCTGCATTAAATGGCCCTGGTTGGTTGGTTATAATAATTTGTCATTTGTTTTTATTGCTGTCGGTTGAGGTAGTACACAAAGAATGTTGGGGAATGTTAGTTTGATGCATTTAATGAAAGGAAAGACTTTATAGTAATGTTAAAAAGTGATCAGAAGATGGTCTAAACACATAGCAGTGGCTTTGGTAATGGAACAGCGTGCAGAAGAACAAGCTGCAGCTTTGCTGATCAGGGCTGCAGATTGTTGCTTTTTGACCACATTGCTGTTGATTGTGCTTTCTGACCTTGCTGCTGTGTTATTGGTAGCATTTGAAGGTGGATCCCATCTTTATACAGGTCATCATGGTTAACCTTGCAGTGTTTTGAGTATTTTGTGCTCTGTAGTTCTCCTTCCACCCTGCCTTCAGCCAGACCAACGCATGCAAAGCCAGTGTTTTTTATCAGATGTGTCCCTTATGTCTCCTCTTGCTTCTCCTCCTTTGTCTCTTCTTGCCTCCCCTGCTTTTCAGAGGACGGTCAGAAAGGTGAGACTCGCGGCCTCCGTTTTCCGTTCCTCCTCCTGCCCACCTTTTACAGCATCCTGCCTGATCTCCGTCCTCCTTTCTTTTCCACTTCTATGCTTGAAACCCAAACAAGATCCCACTTTTCTTTTGTTTTATTTTCCTGTTCATCCTCTTCTCACATTCGCCTTTGCTTCCATCCATCTACATGTCAGTGGTTGTGGTTTTAACTCTGCTGTTCCTCCATGCTTTCCTCAGGTTATTTCCAAACTTTTGGAGCCTGTCAGGAACCACCTGGCGTGGCCCCTCTCTCTGCTCCCTTCCCTCCCATCAGGAGCAACACTTGGACTCAAAGCTCTGGTTCCTCTCAACAACAACTACAAGAAGACCAACTAGCTGCTGGCCAGCTGGTGGATCTAAGACTTTACACTTTGCTCCCCGTGTAGAAACGTCCTCTTTTTTAATCATTTCTTTCAATCCTTTTGTTGCGGATTCTTTTATTTTCTTTGCTCAGTGTGGACTCCTGCAGAGCTGCAGCCATTTGTGGATCTTAAAAAGGCAAATTGTTTAATAATAATCTACTTTAGATCAATGTAGAGAATGTTAAATGATTTTATTTGAACATCTGTTAAGCATTTTGGAGACTGCATCCTAATTTTATTTCATGGAAGTTTTTCTTCTTTTAGTTCCTTGTTTTGGCATCAATGCTTATTGTTTTTTTTTTTCTTCCTCTTTTAGGTTTTGAAGCCACTAGCTGATAATTATATGGAGGACAGTGTCAGACAGACGGTCTTTAACTCCATCAGAGCCAGCTTGGCAGAACAGGGTTCACGGCCCACCAGGTTAAAGACTGACTGATGCTCCTCCTCTTCGGCCCCCCCATCACGCACGCTGTCCACTTCTAGAACTGTGGGACTAGTTGAACACCAAAGCTGACCCTCTTTTTATGTTTATTTTTCGGGCGTAGTCTTGTTGCCGCCCGTCTGTCTTTGTCTGTGGACCTGTAGCCTTGCAGTCTGACCTGCTCTTCATCGCCCCCTGGTGCCTCACACAACATGCTGCACAATCAAAGGAAGGAGCAGAGGAGCCGGGGGCATCATCCTGCGGGATCCTCTGCCATGCTCTGTTTATTTGGTTGTTTTTTTTTTATTTTATTTTTCCTGATCATCATTGTTGCTGGAATCTGACTGCACTCAATATTAGGAAAACTGACACCGCCGTGGGTGGCTGCTAACATCGGATGCACGCTGCGGCACTTGAACGTGCATGTTTTCCTGTCTTCAGACATTTTCCCAGGGATCTACTAACCCATTCACTCTGAAAAGCAGGATTTAATTCCTGCAGTCAGTTCTGTTGAAGTGAAAACGCAAGTAGAAAGGAAAGCTAACCTGCAGAGCAGGGAACGAAGCAAAGCTGTAATGTTTTGTTTTCGATCAGATCTGAAACACTATGAGGCAACGTTTTTATGATCATCCTGTGGGGTCAGGCTGCCTTCACATGAGAAGGTTCCACATTTTCCTTGTGTCCCTTTAATATTTCGTATAGATAACTGAAGAGCTACAGGTAGCACCAAGTTTCTCCCTACTGTTCTTTAAGGGGGTCTGTTTGTGATTTTTAGATAGTGAAGTGTGCTCTGAAACTACCTTTGGTGTCTCATAGCATACGTGCCAGTATTCAGCTCTGTGCATGCTGTTAGGAGCTTTTAGAGCCCAGCTAGGCTAGTGGTTAATTTGAAACCGTTTTCTCATCCATGCCCTCCAAAAAGCTTCAGCAATTGGCTGCAGTTTCAGACAGGTTGGGGTATTTTTCCAGCCTCATTTATTCTGATTTGTTCTGTGAGGAGTAAATGGAGAAGACCCCGCCTCATGTCTTTGCTGTTTGAACCAGCTGGGAGCTTTAGCTCTGCTGCGACAATCATTCAGAAATTAAATTCTTTCTGCTGCTTAGATTTTTGTCCATCAGGGCTGGACCTCCCAGAAGTAGAAGAATAATGTATTTTAATGCACCTCACCAACCTCCCTGAGGAACTCGGCCATGTTTGTTTTTTAGCTCCTCACCAACAGCTGCATGTGTCTTTTACTCTGATTCCATCCTCAGTTTCTAACTACAAACACAAGTCTCATAATGTACAGTGTCTTTTTTTTTTTTTTCCTCGTATTATAAATCAGGCATGTGTGTTAATTATTTAAGTAAATAGTGTACACATTTTATAGAGAATCACTTTACCATGGCTATTTTCTTGTCTGGAGTAACTTTCCAGCGTGCTTTGGTAAAGGATGGGCTCCTGCTTGTAGGCTCGCCTTAGCTTCTGTTCTGTTCACCAGAAGGGACGGACGGCTGCATGTTGCGGTTATTGGACTGTTTACTGGGCTGCAGACATTAGCCTGTCTTTTAAAGATATCTCTGGTAAATTATTTTTGATTAAAATGTTCATTTTAAGAATAAATCACATACACAGTCCTGCTGGTTGTTTTTTTTTTCTTTATTTCAATTCAACATTTAAAAGCTGCCATCTTTGTTCATCCGGTGTTTAAATGAGCATTAAAAAAAACCCAGATCTTTCACAGGTCGCTTGTATAGATTTCTCATTTTTAAAAAACTGATTTTGTATTAAAATTAACAGAAAATCATTTTTAAAGCTTATTTCCAAAACTCAGAAGAGCGAGAATATTTGGAACACATCTTTTGATGCAATTTTAATGTAAAATGTTTTCTAAAAATATCAGATTTAAACTTTGAAACATTTAGGAGTAAAAATTAATGACGTACTGGAGGTGTATTTGTATTGGTTTAATTTGGCCACATGATGGCGCTACAGTGAAAGAAAAAGGACCAGACTACAAACTCCTAAAACCTACTAAATTCAATTAGCTTAAAAATATCTACTTTTTTTGTAATATCAATGAGCGAATGTCATCTTTAATAAATATTTAAGTTTAAAACAAGAAGTAAGAGGCTGATACTAATAAGCTATATTCTAAGAATTAATTTAAATGATTCTGGCTTACTGTTTATTAAAAATCAAACGTTCATTTAATAAGATAAATACAACATGCCAGTCTGCTCTAATAGATTGGCACCGAGGTGATGAGGCTCTGGTTCTGCTTAGAAAACCCATGTTGATTTAGTAAACTTCAACCCACACAGTAAATTATGCAGTGTTTAAGTAACACTTTAAGATTGTATTTGGTCCCACTATGATTTAGTGTTAAATTAGAACACTAGGTAGTGTATATTTTATTCCAGTTGTTGCTGTAATAACTAAAAGAGTTGATCTACTTAGACACTGCATATTTAACACTGGGATTTACTGTGCATCTGCTGTTTGAAGGTTCCTTCTTACAATCTGAGGTTTGTTGGCCAGTAAGCCCTTTAGAATAGTGGACAGGTTCAAGCACTGCTAAAAATGAAATGTACATGAAGCCTAGATATTTTGCCAGAGAACTGGACTGACTTTGGAGGTGATGAAGCAGTGAGTAGACACCAGCAGGTGACTGGGCTCCCTCCTCAAATCAACTCTAGCCTAAAGCATCTTTGACTATGCGCCTCCAGGCTTTCCACAAACTAATAAATTGAGCTTTGAATCATATTTAAACTTTACTTTTATTTATAAAGAGAACTTTGGTCCCCTGACAAGTTTTTTGTATTCCTTACTCCCATTTGGTACTGATGTTTTGGAGATTACTCTCCCAGCTGTACTTCATGACTTGTATGTGTGGTGAATCCTCCAGCTGAATTCCACATTCTGAATCTCCCAAAACCTTAAATGATTTTCTTGGGGGGAAAAAATCAATTAAAAATCCCATCACTTGTACGTTTAATTCCCCTCAAAATAATAAAAAGTATTTTGGTGAAACTCCAGTCATAAAATGAAATTTAAAGAAATACAAATTATTTTTACCAAATCTACAGAAATCACTCTTTAGACTGAATCACTGAAAACCTTTCAATAATTAGTTTTTCTATCAAAATTCACCGTAAGCCTCAGAACTAAGAGGAAAGCTTAGCTACAGAATTAAATGCTGCATTTCCAGAAATGACCAGCAGGTGGAGCCAATGTTATTTTAAAAATACATTTATTTTGTTCACATGAAATGATCTAATGGCGTCTATTCTGCTTTTAAAGCATTCATCGGTTAAAATCTGGTTACTATTGTAAAATGAAAGAATACAAAAAACAAAATGCTATCAAAAAAACACAGGCTAATCAATTTAAAGTGAGAATTTGCAGGACAAACTAGCTGGTATAAAAATCTAATTCTAAACTAAGAATGAAACGGCACACTTCCTGACTTTTAGGTTTAATTACATTTCAAATAAATTACTAAGGTTTTATGTCACAAATAGCTGCAGGTTGTTCTGATTTCATTCATTTTCATATTGCTTTCAGAAATACATGCTTTGTATAACAGTTAAAAAAACAAACAATATAAATAGTCAAAATGATGCCAGAGGCGGTGGGTGGAACCAAATCACTGCTCACTGACCCCCAATAAAAAAGCAAAAATTAGGATGATTTTCATCTTTGCATTGTTTGTTTCTCTGTTTTAAAAAGGGAGCGTAAATAGTGACTGCAGTAAAGCTTCCCTTCAGAGTTCATCATGTTCTTTTCTTATTTTATTTGGTTTCCTCACACAACCCAACAGTCCATCATGAAATGGCACTTTTCCATCTGTTATATTTAAATGATCACAGCTAACAGATTATACCAACTGGTTATAAATAATGACAGGCTTAGGAGCAGCAGCTAACAGCACTGTTTATACATCTGTTAACTGGATGCCTTAAATGAGGTTTCTGTTATAATTAAAAGTCCCATACAAAGGCTGTAATAGCACTATTGCTCTAACAATCCCACCCACCCATCATTTTATACACAGGATGCACCAGGAGAACCGCTGCTTAAACACCAATCCGTATCTAAAATTTCTCTAAAACTTTTGGTTTAAATTAAAAGAATTTCCTGACTCTGGAGTAAAAAAATAAAAACATTAAATTAATGTTTTAGCTCGTATTGCCAGGATGAGTCCCTGCTAAAAAAAAAAAACATATGGAAGACAGAGGGTCTCTAGTCTTCTCTGGCTTGACCTCCACTCAGACTCGAGACAAGCGGAGGCGATGAAGGCGAGGTCATCTGATGTACGTCAAAATCCACGTTTAGACCATGAACCGGGTAGCAAAGGACGCTGCAGCGCCCAGCGCCAATCCCAGGGACAGGAAGAAGGCCATGATGGCGCCGGCTGTCTCCGCCTGATGCTGTGGTACCTTCCTGCAGGAGGAAAAGGTATTAGGAACAGGCTGCTAATCAGCAGACTACAGGAAAACTTTATCGTTAAAGCACCAATATAATGTCTATTAACATATATGATTATTATAAATTAAATATTAAGAAAGCATAACACTGCAGGCCATATTTGAACAGTGTGAAGCAGCAGCCCTTACTTTGGTCCAAAGCACATGCAGAGGCTGGCCAGGTATCCGTTGGAGAAAGAGAACAGGATCATGAAGAAGATGTACCAGGCGTCATGAGAAAACACCACGGGGAGGTAGTTCCGAGGCTGGACGTTGCACAGCATGAAGAGCGGGATGAAGATCACCCTCACGCCACACAGGACAGGAAGCCAGATGCTGTCCTTCCCAGGCTGGACACACATGGGACAAGACTGAACTTTAAAACCAGCAACAGATTAGATCTACATAGAAAGAGAGATGGAAAGGTTCCAGTAATTTCTTTATAAATTACTACCATTTGTGCAAAACTTTTGAAATCATCAATATAAACTCAACATTTTCTCCAGTAGTTTGAAAACCTCTCAACTCCAGAGGAAGCAGCTTTTTTTTAAACCAGTGGAAAGCTCAATGGCTCCATCCACATCCCTGTGATCCAGACCCGTCCTGCTTTAACCTTCTCATTTCTCACTTCATTTAATTAGAAGCTTTAACAAAAGGATGAGGAGACGTTAACGCTGCGTTTACCTGCAAAAGCAGAGGAATCTAGACAGACCCTGATAATCTCTGTCTGCTGCTGATAAATAAGCTCACGTGTCTCTGCAACAGCTGACAACGACGAAGCCGCATTCCTCTGCAGGACAGCGTGCGGTAAGCAGACTCATTCACCCAGACCTAATTCTATTACATCACAGGAAATTAAGACTTCCACACTGTTCCAGTTTATTTTCTGGATAACCTCCAAGTTGTCTCCAGGAATTAGCCAAGGGTTGCCCACACCCAACACATTGGGGCGGCGTATAAAATTAGGGTGATGGAAAAGAGGCCGTCCAAGTTTGACTTTGAGTTCATCCTGAAAGATGAAGAAGGAAACTAGCAGTAGGAATAATTAAAAAGCTGTACTAGTAAATGTAATTCCATTCTTTAAAAGGAGGGTATAAACTTTCAATATAATCTTTTTTTTTTTTTTTATAAGAATTTAAACAAAACCAAAGTACTCATTTAAAAATGGATACTTCTTTTTTAAGCAAAAATCTTTAAACTCCTCTGCGTGCAGGTTTTATTTCTAAGCAGTTATTTGGATCTCCTGTCCTGATATGTTTCAGGTCTTCCTAATGTTTCCAGATTGTTGATTTTCCTCTTTTGCAAACAGGAAGCTTGTAAAAGTAAAGATGCTTTTACAACCTTCCCTTGTTTAGTTTTGTTCCACATCTGATCCGCTGTTTGGCCAAACTAATAAAAGCTTATAATCCTCTCCAGCTGCCATCTGCACACCCACTTGCAGAATTGATTTTTTTTTCTTTTAAGCCAAATATTCAGTTTTCAAATAAAATGTTTTTTTTTTAAATCTTGCTTTCTGCTCACTGTTGATGTTCCTTTCAGCAAGGCGCTTAACTTAAAGTTAAGAAAATACATTTTTGGAACAGAGGGATCCAGAAACGCCTCCCCGACTCCAGGAGACTCAGCGTTTAACCGAGGGCCCCTCAGCTGTCTGTGACCCCGCGGCCATTGATAATGACCATACGAAGGATAGGAAAGCAGACCTGTAAAAGCCTCATCATCCCTTTGCACCTAACTTTATAGAAACTTAGTAATAAAATACACAGACTGCTCTCTAAAACAGACCCCTGATCTCTGCAAATAAACTCTTCCTCTGGACTTTTACCTGGAAAACAGCTTTTGTTTTTCCAGCATTCTTCACATGAATCAGGATTTATTCTGGTAAACATCTGACGCAGCCATTAAGCTGTCAGCCCTGGGGGTGTCATCGCCACAGGGGAACAGGCACTAAGTGTTACTAAGCGTTGCAGTCCCTTTAAATGGATCAAACTATTGAGCAGCTTCACACGGCTCTCTGTTGCTGCTGTGTGCGAACTGACCGACTTAAAACAGCCTGTTGTTTGGTCAGAGGCAGCCGCTTTAAGCGCAGCTGGTCCGTTAAAGTTACACTGCTATGTCGGTGCCGTTACTGACCCACATGCAGACGGCCGTCAGACTCCTGCCAGCCCAGT